ATGTATTTACTGAGTGTGGGTGAGTCCGTGGGCGCCTTCAGTGTGTGCGAGGGTGTGTGAGGACATGCATGTGTTAGTGGTGTTCTGGAGCGTCTTCATGTATTTAGCGAGTGTGGTAGGAATTGATGGGCAAGTGGCTGAGAGTTTGTTGCAAGCGTGGTCTGTTTGAATTGTGTGGGTGTATGCGTGCATTCAAGCGAGTGGTGTGTATGTCCATGAGGGCATACAAGTGGGCAGGTGACAGCATGCAGATGAAGTGGGAGTGAGCGCCTCAGTGCATTTGAGCCACTGTGTGTGTGAGGGTGAGCAAGAGGGAGGCATGAGCATGTGTCAGGGGATTACTGGGAGTGTGAATGAGATGAAGTGTCAGTCAAGCTTGGTGAGTGGGTGAGGCACAAGTGTAAGTGTGCATGAGTGTGAGCATATGTGTAAACGTGTATGAGTGCCTTGCGTCAGTGTGAGCACGCATGACGTGTTACTGTGGGTGCATGTTAGTGAATGTGAGCATTTTGCTTGTGTCAGTGAGGGAGGTTGTAACAACACTACAGGCATGAGTGTAAAGAGAAGTGGGTGTGAGTGTGGGCACAGGTGTGAGTGGGTGAGTCATCACTTGTAACCAATGTGCTTAGGAATTTGAGTGCATATGTGAGCTTCGGGATGCGTTGGGAGGGGTAAAAGTGTACATGAGAGCATCTATGAGTGTGCATCAGTTTGCATCTTAGGTTGTGTGTGCATATGAGTGACTGGGATTGTGTGTGTGTCAGTGATTGCGACAGTGGTGTGAGTGCACCTGAGAGAGTGAGGGTGGGTGTGTGTGCCCGTGAGTGTGTCTGAGTAACTTGCTGTGGGTGTGAGGATGCGTATGGCGGTGTGAGAGTGTGTGTGAGTGCACGTGCGTGTGTTGAAGGAAGGCGGGTGTCCTCGTAAGCCTGGATGGCTGACGGCAGGGTGGGGGAGGTGTGAGGCGAGGGCAGGTCCTGTGGGGCTGTGGGAGGGGTTCCTCAGGAGGGCCCAGCCTCCGAGCCTCAGCCTCTGCTCAGGGAGGAATGGAGGCCTGCAGTCAGGCAGAGCAGAGGTGGACCCACTTGTGTCAGAATCCAGTGTTGTAAACCTAGTGAAAACTTCCCATTTTGTTAATGCAGATGTGTTAAACTTGGATTGGAAACTTACGGTGCAGATTAAATGTAAGCAAGATCATGGAGGTATTTAAAACAGGAGATTTAAAAAAATATAATAGATGTACTGTTGCAAATTACTGCTATTTGGATTATAGATAATTTTCCTATTGCCTAGAAATAACACATAGGTAAAATTCTTTAACTAGTTTTAGTACACAGTTAGAAGGTTCTAGAAATGCGTATAGTCCCAGCTACTTGGGAGCCCAAGGAAAGAGGATCACTTGAGCCCAGGAGTTTTAGACCAGCCTAGGCAACATAGTGACACCCCATTGCTAAAAAAAGAAAAATTCTGTGAAATGTTTTTCGAACTAACTTAAAAGCCTTCTTCCATTCCTCACTTTGAATTAGTTTGAATTAATTTACAAAGTGCAACATATTTGTAAAGGAGTTTATTGTAGAAAATAAAATAATAGGCCAGGCGCAGTGGTTCATGCCTGTAATCCCAGCACTTTGGGAGACCGAGGTGGGTGGATCATGAGGTCAGGAGTTGAAGACCAGCCTGGCCAAGATGGTGAAACCCTGTCTCTACTAAAAATACAAAAATTAGCTGGGCGTGGTGGTGGGCGCCTGTAATCCCAGCTACTCGGGAGGCTGAGACAGGAGAGTTGCTTGAACCCAGGAGGCAGAGGTTGCGGTGAGCCGAGACTGCGCCACTGCAATCCAGCTTGGGCAACAGGGTGAGACTGTCTCAAAAAAAAGAAAGAAAATAATAAGTTGATTAAAAAAATAAGGTTTGCACTCATGATTTATCTTTAGGGACTTGTTACCAAGAGTGTTTTGTTTTCCTCCTGCAGCTTCTCCAAACAGGCTGGTGTGCCGGGAGCAGCACCGGAGCTGGTGCACACTGGGGTTTGTGCGGAGCATCGCGCTCACGCAGCAGGTGTGCGGCGCCCTCAGCTCCCCGCAGTGGATCACGCTGCTCATGAAGGTCGTGGAAGGGCACGCACCCTTCACTGCCGCCTCACTGCAGAGGCAGGTACTGTGCTGCCAGGCAAAACCAGTTCTCTGAGAGCAGCATCGCACACTGAAGTTCCCTGCCCTCAGAGTCGGGGCCTTTATTCAGTAACGAGTGCAGAACGGGTCTAGAAGTGACAGGGTGGGTTCTCTGGAGGTGAGGGGCAGAGGTCCTTGACAGTCGGTAAGTTGTTAAACTTTAGTTTGCCTGCTCTGCTCTTAAGTGGTAAATCCTGCAGGTACTTTCTCATCTGCTCCACAGGATTCATAGTGTAATCATCCTAAGAAGAATGAAACTAAAAGTCATTCTTTTTTAATTAAAGAAACACATGCACCTCTCATGTCGCTTTTTTCTAAAGTCCCTGACAATCCTAGTCACTCATCAACTTGAATGTAATTACCTGACTGTAAAATAATGAATCTCAAAATTTTCACATGATTATGAGAAATTTTCACATTGACTTTCACATTTCAATTTTCACACTGTGTTATAAGAACAGAAAATAAAGAGAAAACAGCAATCTGTAATTTCTTAATCAGACTTTTTTAATGCTTGCCCTTTTAAATTATCTTTTTCAGATCTTAGCTGTACATTTATTGCAAGCAGTCCTTCCGTCGTGGGACAAGACCGAAAGGGCAAGGGACATGAAGTGCCTTGTGGAGAAGCTGTTCAGCTTCTTGGGGAGCTTGCTCACTACTTGCTCCTCCGACGTGCCGTTGCTCAAAGGTGGGTAACCGTCTCCCTTCCCTGTGCCCTGGGGAAGAGCAGGGCAGCAGCTTCTCCCATGTTGCCTCCTCAGAGTCCACACCGAGGCGGCGCCGGGCACGCCCACAGGCCTCGCTGACCGCCACCCACAGCAGCACACTGGCCGAGGAGGTGGTGGCCCTGCTGCGCGTGCTGCACTCCCTGGCGCAGTGGAATGGGCTGATCAACAAGTACATCAACTCCCAGCTGCGCTCCATCACCCACAGCTTCGCGGGAAGGCCGTCTGAAGGGGTGGGTTTGTGTTCTCAGAATTCATTTAGTTGAACGGTAAACCTGTAGGGACTGGGCAGCTCCATGAATGTCCCTGGTCGAGCTGGCTGTTTGCCGTCTGCACTAGGCCCAGTTAGAGGACTACTTCCCCGACACCGAGAACCCTGAAGTGGGGGGCCTCATGGCGGTCCTGGCTGTGATCGGGGGCATCGATGGTCGCCTGCGCCTGGGCGGCCAAGTCCTGCACGATGAGTTTGGAGAGGGCACCGTGACTCGCATCACCCCGAAGGGCAGAATCACCGTGCAGTTCTCCGAAATGCGGACGTGCCGCGTTTGCCCACTGAATCAGCTGAAACCGGTAGGGGACCTTGGACTCAGTTACTGTGTGAAAGGGATTTGGCTTTACCCTAGAACCCAGCTCCAACATTAGCACTGGAAAGAACTTGATTCTGGTACTTCAGGTTTGCCTTCCAGGAGGCTGCCTGACCCAGGAAGGAGAACCACCTCTCTTCCCTCCCCTGAGCTTGGGCTTCTGTGGTAAGCAGGGCCTCGCTCACAGGGCATCGAAAGCAGTGGTTCGTGTGTCTTTTAGCCTCAGAGCCGTGAAGAGGGCTTTAGCCCCCTAGAAGGTAGTGTGCATCTATGAGGTGGTTCTAATTATTTTAAAATGTGAATTTATGAAGTTTACTTGTTATTGAACAACTCAGGTTTTTAAAAAAACTTAAACATGATTCCTTTTAAAAAAAAAAACCTTTCTTCATGTAGAAAATGCTTAGTTGTTTTGAGTGGCATGACTGAATGTAGCAGCTACTGTCATTCATTCTTGCACACCTATGAATCAGGGATGCACAGGGAAAAGGAGTGACTTGCATTATTTTGATGTAGCCCAAGTGCAATCTTACAATATTTTCTTTTTTTTTTTGGAGTGAGAGTTTCACTCTTGTTACCCAGGTTGGAGTGCAATGGCACAATCTTGTTGGCTCACTGCAACCTTCACCTCCCGGGTTCAAGTGATTCTCCTGCCTCAGCCTCCCAAGTCGCTGGGATTACAGCATGTGCCACCATGCCTGGCTAATTTTGTGTTTTTAGTAGAGACGGGATTTCACTATGTTGGCCGGGCTGGTCTCAAACTCCTCACCTTGGGTGATCCGCCCACCTTGGCCTCCCAAAGTGTTTGGATTACAGGTGTGAGCCACTGTGTATGGCCTGACTATATTTTCTATGAAAGAAATGTATTTTTTATTATAGGAATATATACATGTTGTAGAAAACTTGAAATATATAGAAAATACCTGAGAAGATAACCACAACAATGATGTAATTATTGTTGACAGGTTTGTAAAGAAAAACTAATATAGATATGTAACATACAAGTCTGCATGTTGCCTTTAATGCCATTTAAAAAAATTATTTTCAGCTATAAAAAGGTTTATGGGTATGTGTGGCATTTCAGGAGGAAGCCCATGGTTTTGATGACTTCCAGAGCGTTTCATTTGTTATTCGTATTGGCTGCACGCTGACAGCTTCTGTGTTCTCTCCAGCTCCCTGCCGTGGCCTTTAATGTGAACAACCTGCCCTTCGCAGAGCCCATGCTGTCTGTCTGGGCTCAGCTGGTGAACCTCGCTGGAAGCAAGTTAGAAAAGCACAAAATAAAGAAATCGACTAAACAGGCCTTTGCAGGTCAGGGTTTGCTGCTTCCTGTGAAACAGCTGCCGTCTTAAACTCGTGTTGTTTGTACTGTGTTCTTTGGTGAGTGAGTTCCCAGGCCTGCCAACGTCCTGGGGTTCACGTGGGCTCACCGTTTGTTGAGTTGTGGTTGGGAGTGTAACCCTGTTTACGGAGTAACGAGTTTTCAGGTCAGCCTTCATTGCCATGAACCCTCTTCTCAGGGTCACCCTTTATCCCTGAAGAGAAGTCTGTCTTCTCCTCTTCCGTGCTCCTCACCATCCCAGTGCCCTGTGGCCCACTCACCCTGTTAGAGCATGGCTCCCGGCGTGTTCCCTGCCTGATCTAGGGGCCTCTGTCCTGGAAGCCACCTGGCCTGACTGTGACCTTCACGGTGGCTGAGACTGTAACCCTGCTTAGCTCTGCCTGCCTTTGGGTCTAAAATGGAGCTCTCCTGAGTTTCTTTCACTGTTCCTAGGGAGGTCTTCTCTCTGCTTGTTCTTCCTGTTCTGGAAATCCTCGTGGCTTCACCCATAACTTATGTCTTATTCTGCCCACTCTTCTTGAGTTTTCTCCCCTCTTGCTCCCACAGACCTATGATTGCTGCTTCAGCATTTTTGATGTAAACACCTTCAACTCTGGACCTCCCATTCATGTGTCTGCTTGAAGGTGCAGTGCCTGTAAATCACCACCTTTCTAAAATTCAGCTGGCTTTCTCTGCTAGCTGCCGCTTACATCATGGTGAATAAACCTGTCTGCCAGTTAATCGAGCCAGTGCCCTGGCAGCACCTGCGGCCCTCCTTCCCTGCAGCCCCATGCTCTCTGTGCTGCTTCTGTGGCCTCTGCCATTGGATAAGACTCGGGCATTGCTGCTATCTTCCTTAGTTAAAAAGCTGGTGTAGCTGACGGATTCTCTGAGAGTCTCTTAGATGAAGAGCGAAGGTGGCTGAAACTTAGCAACTTGGGGAACATTTGATCGTGTTAATAATAGCTAACACGGTTCTAACTGTGTTAAAGCATGGACTCCTGTGTGCCATCAGTTTAGGTGCCTGGAGAGCAGGGAGGAAGACCCAGGAGGCAGAAGGTGCTTACCCAGAAGCACCAACCATAACACTGGGCAAGGCAAGCCCTTTGTCCCTGACAGTGTTTGTGGTCGGCAGACTCCCGAAGGGCAGAGTGTTACTCCTCACCATTCTCACCGAGTCTTTCCTTCCATAGGACAAGTGGACCTGGACCTGCTGCGGTGTCAGCAGTTGAAGCTGTACATCCTGAAAGCAGGTCGGGCGCTGCTCTCCCACCAGGACAAACTGCGGCAGATCCTGTCTCAGCCAGCTGTCCAGGAGACTGGAACTGTTCACGCAGGTATCTTTTTTAAAAGTATTTTATTTTATTTATTTTTTTTTTTTTTCAGATAAGAAAGCCGAGAAGGCAAACAGAGTTCTTAAAGCTTTATAAGAAAGGCAGTAGAAAATAGACAAGGATGTGGACAGTCAGTTCATAAAAATGGACATAGATGGCTTAAATATGTGGGAGAAAGACACGTGGCCTGCCCAGCAACCACCAACCGTGAATAAAATCATCATCATCTTATAAGACAAACAATATGAGGGCATCTGGTGGGTGGGGAGGGAGAAAGGTATTTTCATGCCTCCCATTTAAAGTGTGGCACGTGGGTCAGCAACATTGATGGCACACAGGCATGTGTTAGAAACGCAGACTCCCAGGCTGCACCCAGACCAAAGCAATAGAACCTGTATTGTAACAAGAAGACCCTAAGCTGGTTCTTCAAATGCCCGCACAGCAGCACTCCATGAACACGCTGCTGGGAATCGAAGTTGGTGTAGCCATCTAATGGGCGCTGGAGGAAATGAGTCGGACTTTGAAATGCATAGATGTACCTGTGTATTCATATACTTTGACCCAGCAAGTCATTCTGTGGGAATTTATCACACGAAAAGGCATGTAAAGATAATGTATTCACTGGCCAGGCGTGGTGGCTCACACCTGTAATCCCAGCACTTTGGGAGGCTGATGCAGGTGGATCACGTGTGGTCAGGGGTTCAAGACCAGCCTGGCCAACATGGTGAAACCCCGTCTCTACTAAACATGCAAAAATTAGCTGGGTATAGTGGTGACCGCATGTAATCCCAGCTACCTGGGAGCCTGAGGCAGGAGAATTGCTTGAACCCAGGAGGCAGAGGTTGCAGTGAACCGAGATTCTGCTACCGCACTCCAGCCTGGGTGACAGAGTGAAACTGTCTCCAAAAAAAAAAAAAAAAAAATGTATTCAACAATGTTGTTATGGCTTCCTTTTTGGTATGGTTTTTGTGTTGAAAAACTGTAGACACTAAAATACCCACTCTTATGTATCCGTGCAGTGTAATACAGTGTCATTCAAAATGATGGTACATACATATAGTAGTCTTCACTCAGTATCCGTGGGGATGGGTTCCAAGACCCCCAATTATACCAATTATACTAATGCTCAAGGCCCTTCTATAAAATGGTGTAGTATATGCACATCCTCCCAAATACTTAAAAAATATAAATCATTTGTAAATAGTTGTTATCCTGTACTTTTAATTTGTTATCTGTTTATTTATTCTGAGTATTTTTGATCTGTCATTTGTTGAATCTTTGGATCAGAACCCATGGATACTGAGGGCCAGTGTATATGTTTATTGCCATGAAAACGTGAAAATGGTACCTAAGGAAACAAAAGCACATTGCTACATATATCTGTTTATAGATAAGCCATAGGTTCATCTGTGTAGCGCAATATTGACACAGTAATCTTTGATGGAATTTTGGCTGTTTTAATTTTCTTTATATTTCTCTATATTTAGTTTTCTGGAATGAGCTTGTGTCACTTTTAATAGAAAAAAACAAATATTTTTCCATCACCTATTCTTGAAAGACATGCAAAGTCTTTTGGGGGGAAGCTCTTGTCTATGATCATTGCTCTCTAGGGTGTGGATGAGGTGAGGAAATGAACGCAGTGGCTCCGTCCGTCCTCTGGGGCCGGGGGGCGGCGAGGCGTGTAAGTGGTTCCATAGGCGTCTGGAGCCAGTGGCAGCTGAGCGCGGACAGGCAGCCTTTGGAGGCTGCGGCAGACAGATGCCAGCAGACAAGGACTGCCGGTGGTGGAGCCAGGAAGAGAGGGTGAAAGTGGCGAGTCTGGGAGCGTGTTGAGCAGCTCTGCCTTGCTTGGAGTTCAGGGTATCTCGACGTGCAGTGGGGCTGAGGCTGGATGGGTGGTTGACGTCCTGCTGCAGAGTACCTTGGAGAGCAGGGTGAAACTTGAGGCCCACCTGGGAAGCTGTGGCAGGGCCACATGGAAAGCATTGACCTTCGGGCGATGCACCTGCTAGTAAGGTACAGTAGTATCTGACACCAGAGATGACAGAGATGGAGAATTGCTCCTGTGTCAAGTGATGAGGGGGAAGGCATGGAAAGGGAAAGAAGGATCTGGTGGAAGGAAGGTGCCGTCCACTGTGATGGTGTAGTCTTGTAGATAATAGCTATGTGGGAATCCAGCAAAAAATGGAATGTGGCTGATGTTTCAAGCTTGAGATGAGGGGAGAATTCTGAGTAGTGCATTTGAAGAAAATAAGCAAGTCCAGTAGAATGTGGAGTGTTCGGGTTTGTTTCCTAATCTTAGGAGGAGAGTAATATACTGAACAGAGAGAAGTTGAAAACAAAGAAAAAAAGAAGAAAAAAGCAAGGGAAGAAGATGCTGTGAAATGAATTTTAAACCTGCTGAGGATGAGAGAAATTGATGGAAAGTATAGATTCAATCAAATAGTGGAGGTTGTAGGGAGCATGAAGATTTCCCAGGTGTAGAGATTGGGAGATTAGAGCCTGGGAATCAGATTGGCTCTTCTGTTCTCCGCTCAGCCCACTGAGCAGTTGCAGCAGACCTGAATCAGGAGGGCAGAGCAGGGACTCCAGACAGAGCTAGATTGACAAAACTGCCATGCCCCTGGTTTTGTAAATTTTTAAGGGAACACAGGCACAACACTTGTTCACACCTCATCTCCAGCTGCTTTTGCTCTACAGTGGCAGAGCTGAGTAGTTCGGACAGAAACTGTACAGCCCATCAGCCTGTTTACTATCTGGACCTTTAAGAGAAAGATTTCCAGCACCTGGTCTAGCTAGCTGAAATTTTCACCAAACAAAACCAGCACGTGCAAATGCTGTGAGTACCTGGCTGAGCACCTGGATTGTGTGAAGTGGCTTCAGGGCAGTGGGTCTCCCTGGGGCTGCGTCACACAGCGTACTAAAGGCTGCACCTAAAGCTACTCATAACAGACAAAAAGCCATCGCCCTGAGGACATGACGCATTTGGAATTGGGGTCACTTAATGATCCGAACAAGGCCTAGCTAGAAAACCTACAACTAGAAATATGCATATGGGATGTGTCTGTGTTGAGGGTCACTGGAGCTGTGAGTGAACAAGAAAGAAAGTGTGTAGGCCAGCCGTAGTGGCTCACACCTGTAATTCCAGAGCTTTGGGAAGCCAAGGTGGGTGGATCAGCTGAAGTCAGTAGTTCGAGACCAGCCTGGCCAACATGGTGTAACCCTGCCTATACTAACAATACAAAAATTAGCAGGCGTGTTGGGATGTGCCTGTAGTCCCAGCTACTGGGAAGGCCGAAGCTGGAGAATGGCACAATCTCGGCAGTTGCAGTGAGCCAAGATTGTGCCATTGAACTCTAGCCTGGGCAACAGAGTAAGACTCTATCTCAAAAAAGAAAGAATCGGACCAAGTACAGAAATCTGGGAAGGAGCATTTGCTGGCTCTAAGAGACGGCTGCACTAATGAAGGACAGCTATCAAAAGCAGGAAGTGAAAGTGGTTTAGAGGCTAGCTGTTTTTTTTCTCTTTTGAGATGGAGTCTCGCTCTGTCGCCAGGCTGGAGTGCAGTGACGCGATCTTCACTCATTGCAACTTCTGCCTCTCTGGTTCAAGCGATTTTCCTGCCTCAGCCTCCCAAGTAGCTGGGACTAAAGGCACACGCCACCACATCCAGCTAATTTTTGTATTTTTAGCAGAGACGAGGTTTCACCATCCTGGCCAGGATGGCCCCAATCTCCTGACCTCGTGATCCACCCGCCTCGGCCTCCCAAAGTGCTGGGATTTTGGGAGCCACTGCGCCTGGTCTAGAGTCTAGTTTTTGTTTGATGTCTGAACCTTGAAGATTTTGATTTTCTGTTACTGAATGGGGCAGAAGTCATACCTGATTCAGCATGCTCAGTGTATTCTCTTTAATAGTAAAGAGGCGTTTGCAGTTGAAAATAGAATCTTATACATACTTTGTTTTTGAATTCAGATGACGGAGCAGCAGCTTCACCTGACCTTGGGGACGTGTCTCCTGAAGGGCCGCAGCCCCCCATGATCCTCTTGCAGCAGCTGCTGGCCTCGGCCACCCAGCCGTCTCCCGTGAAGGCCATATTTGATAAACAGGAACTTGAGGTACAGCTGTGCAGCCTTGACCATTTTTAATCCAGAGTACTAAATTGTGAACCATTTTTTTCTAGGCGTATATTTTCTTAATGATCTGTTCTGAATTTTAAATGACAGTATCCAAATAATTCTAGTGATTCATTAGGGTTTAACCATGTTTGTGCATCCTAGTTAAAGAAAGAGAGAGTTTAAGTTTAACCTTATTTTGGATTTGTGTAAATTGTTAACAAATACTAACTAGACGCAGCCTGGGTGAAATGCTCACAGCTTCATGAAGGGATCTTTTTCCAGGAAGTAGAATTACTGAGAGCGGCTCATCAGGACTGTGGCACCCGCTTGTTTGTTTCACTCACTCGGGAGTCTCTTCGGGTGCGCTCTGGTGCCACCAGGCTCTCAGCTCTCCCCATGTTGTGGAGCAGGTGAGGGCAGCCGTGAGGATCATGGTCAGGGCTACGGGATGTGACTGGGTGTAAGAGGGTGGGAGCTTTCACGGCTGGCAACATGGAGGATTAGAGGTGCTCCAAAATCTTTTTGCTGTATAATACATAAAAAATCTGGGTAGAGGCTGGGCGCGGTGGCTCACGCCTGTAATCCAGGCACTTTGGAGGCCAAGGTGAGCAGATCACCTGAGGTCGGGAGTTCAAGACCAGCCTGACCAACATGGTGAAACCCCGTCTTTAAAAAAAAAAAAAAAGAAAAAAAATCTGGATAGTATATCAAAGACAAAAATAAAACTATCAGTACTCAGTTTGGTAGTCAGAAATTACCCCAACAGAAACCCTCAGAGAGCAGGGCCCTTCTGAGAGCAATGGTCCAGATGAGGCAGCCACTGCCTTGGGCAGATAGGAGGGCTCCCCCAGTCCTAGAATGAGCTGGAAAGATGGTGGGGGGTGCAAAGGGAGAGAGCAGGAAACGGGTGTGGGCTGGGAGGGAGGAGGATGGCCAGGAGCTCTTCTGAACTCCAGCTTCTTCTCAGGTCTGGGAACCTCTGAGGTGAAGGTTAATTTTTTTTATTGTTTGAAACAGAGTCTGGTTCTGTCGACAGGCTAGAGTGCAGCGGTACGATCTCCGCTCACTGCAACCTCCGCCTCCCAGGTTCAGGTGATTCTCCTGCCTCAGCCTCCCAAGTAGCTGAGACTACAGGCATGCACCACCGCACCGAGCTAATTTTTGTATTTTTAGTAGAGACGGGGTTTCATTGTACTAGCCAGGACGGTCTCGATCTCCTGACCTTGTGATCCGCCCACCTCAGTCTCCCAAAGTGCTGGGATTATAGGCGTGAGCCACCACGCCCGGCCGGTGACGGTTCATTTTAAAGGGCATGTTTGTGCCTCCAATCTCCCTGGTAGAGATGAAAAGAGGACGCTGGGCAACGTGAGAGCACGTGGGTGGTGCAGAGCCCACAGTCGTGCTGGGAGGTGCTGAGTGTGTTGGCCTCGGAGGCCACGTGGAGTTGTCCTTCAGGAATGGGGAAGGGCTGTTGAGCTCCGTGGATTCTGATGGAAAGTGGCTGTTGTTCTTACCTCTTCTGTATGGAATGTCTTTTTTCCCTGGTTGCTTCGAGTATTTTCTGCTATCTTTGGCTTTCTGCAGTTTCACTAAACCGGGCCCATGTATGCCGTGGTGGCTCACCCCACTGTCGTCCTTGACATTTGCTTAAGCTGCTTGCATTTTTGGCTTGATTTTTGTTCCCCTAACAAATTTGGAAAGTTTTGACTGTTATATTTCCCCGTCTTGCTCTTTTTGTTCTTTCCTGGAAATACTCTTATACAACTGTTACGCTGTTAGTGAGTTTCCTTTTAGGAGTTTAATAGAAAGTCTTTTTTTTCCTTGTTTGTAGCTTGATTAGTTTGTCTGGACCTGTTTGAAAGGTCAAGATCTTTGCTTTGTTGGGCCTAATCTGTTGTTATGTCCATCCGAGAAATGCTTTATTTTCTATTTGTTACATCTCTTATTTCCATTTGGCTCTCATTTTATAATTTTAGATCTCTTCTGACAGTTCCTTTCTTCACCCTTAAATCTATCTTTTTTTAAATTTTTTTTTATTGTTTTTGAGACAGAGTCTCACTCTGTCACCCAGGCTGGAGTGCAGTGGCACGATCTCAGCTCACTGCAACCTCTGCCTCCAGGGTTCAAGCGATTCTTCTGCCTCAGCCTCCGAGTTGCTGGGACTACAGGTGTGCACCACCACACCCGGCTGACTTTTATAGTTTTAATAGAGACAAGGTTTCACCATATTGGCCAGGCTGGTCTCAAACTCCTGACCTTGTGACTCATCCCCCTCCCAAAGTGCTAGGATTACAGGTGTGAGCCACTGTGCCTGGCCAAATCCATCTTTTACTGGACATTTTTAAACATACTTCTGATAGTTATGTTGGATTTCTTGTTTGCCAATTCCAATGTCCGGTCCTGTTGGTCTGCTGCTCTTTGCAGTTTTTTACCTTGATGATAGTCAGTTACTGGTGGTTGTTCTTCACATATCTGAGAATGTTGATTTCGTTCTGGATTCTTTGGATGTTACATTGTGTTGGCCCTGGGTTCTGCCTCCTTCTCTGGAGAGTGGGGAGTTTTCTTCTCACAGGCAGTTCAGGACCCGGCAGTCCTCCGTCCTGAGGTGGCTTGGTGCTAGGCTTTCTAATGATGTTTTATGCTGCCCTTACCCTGGCTCTGGATCCTTAATTCTGGGGATTTAGAATCTCTTCTGTGTTTCACTGGAAGCCTCGACATTTTCCTTCCCACCCCTAGTTGGTTGAGCTTGGGTCTCAGTTGGTGTGCTGGCCCTGGGCAGCCTTCCAGCGGTCCCTCTGTGCCCAGCCCAGGCAGCTGGGGAGCCCTGCAGCCTTCCA